CGCCTGCCGGGGGAGTTTTCGAACTTCTACAGGGTCCTGTTGCTGTTTACAGTGGTGGGAGGCGACCCTGGGCTGCCGGTAGCCAACAGTCTGATTTTTAGGCTAGCAACCTACCAGTTGGACATTAAACAAATCGTGCTAATGAAAAGAAACAAACGAAGTGTGCGAACGCACAAAAACACGTATATTTCGGTGGATGGAATGTTCGATCATGTGTGAAGCAATCAAAGAAAGAACTAATCATCAAACAACTGAAACAATACCGAATACAAGTAGCTGCACTAAGTGAAACTTGTATGTGTGATTCCGGGGTGAAATTTGTAAATGATTATACAATGATATATTCTGGTGTACCAAGTGATAATAAAACCAGAAGAGCACATGGAGTGGCTATCTGTCTTGATCCTATCGCCACAAAGGTATGGAGAGATTCAGGATCTGAATGGGAGGCAGTTAGTGAGAGAATTATCAAAGTTAGACTGAAATGCACACCAATTGACATTACAGTATTATCTGTTTATTCTCCAGTTAATCCATCGACGAAACAGATGGCAAGTGACGCTGATAAGTTTTATCATGATTTACAAGATACCATAAAAAACGTGTCAACAAATGATATGCTTATCATCATGGGTGATCTAAATGCCAGAGTGGGTGGAAATCAACAACAACTGTCACCAACAAACAGTGTTGGACCATTCGCAGTCGATGTAGAAAATGAGAATGGAGCGAGACTCGTTGATTTGTGTGAGATCAACAACATCATCGTATCAAATACATTCTTTCAACATAAATTACTTCATCAAACCTCTTGGATGCATCCAGGCAACAAGATATGGCACATGATTGATTACACGCTAGTGAATAAAAAGTTTCGATCGAGCGTTGAAGACGTTCGAATGTATAGAAGGGCTTCAGGTGCTATAGGAACTGACCATCATTTGATGAGAACCAAAATCAAAATTCATTTGAAAAGCAGAAGGAAGCGTGACCTACAGAAGAAGAGAAGCATTGATGCTATAAAATTAAAAGATGAGAAACGGATAGAAGCATTTCAGAAAGATCTTCATGAAATGATTAACGATCTAAATGTGGATACAATCAGCATTGATGAGAAATATGAAGTGTTTGTATCACATCTTAAAGAAAAGGCAGAAGAACACTTCATACTAGATAAGAAATCGAATCGAAGGAGAAAAGAATGGCTTACAGATGACATATTGAAGACCATAGATAAAAAAGCTATGGCATTCGTGGAATGGCAGAATCATCGTGGCACAAACTTAGAAGCTGAATATAGGGATAAATACAAGCGTCTTCGAAAGTTAGCCAAGACGATGATTGAACATCGACAGGAAGAGTATTGGGACGAAGTATGTGAGGATATAGAAAAGTCCATCAAAAATAACGATCCTGCAAGTGCATTTTCGATCATAAGAAGACTGAAAGGAGGTAGTAAACGAGTGGAAAACATGCCAATTGAAGATAAAAATGGCAAATTACTCGTGAATTCAGCTGATCAGTTGGAACGTTGGCGTGAGTATTTTTGTGAATTGCTCAATGTTAGTTCAACTGTTGATCCATGCGTAATTAATGAAATTAAGATAACAACACCATCAAGGTCGGAATTGGAACGACAGAACGCCCAACCTTCTCTTGAAGAGGTGACAAGGGCGCTAAATCAAATGAAATCGCGAAAAGCTCCAGGAAGTGATGAAGTGACAGCTGATATTCTAAAAGCTGGTGGTGAGCCAGTGATAAAATGGCTTCACGAAATGTTCACTGATGTATGGGAGAATGAACAGGCGGTGAAGGAATGGAGCTCAGCCACTTTAGTTAGGCTATATAAGAACAAAGGAGACAAAAAGCTATGTGACAATTACAGAGGTATCTCGTTACTAAATGTAACTGGCAAAATATTCTCGCGTATCATTCTCAACCGTATTCAAAATCAGATCGACGAACTATTATTGGAAATACAATCTGGTTTTCGGACCAACAAATCAACGATCGATCAAATATTCACATTGAAAATGACCATGGAGAGAACGAGAGAGTTCAATAAACCGTTGTTTATGTGTTTCATTGATATTGCAAAGGCCTACGACTCAGTCAATCGGGAACTGTTGTGGAAAATATGTCAAAATTATGGTATTTCTGAAAAACTGGTTAACTTGCTACGAATGCTATATAAGGATTCAAAAGCAAAAGTAAAAATTAATGGAGAACTATCAGAGAGTTTCGACATAGAAACAGGAGTGATGCAAGGTGGAATACCATCTCCAACGCTATTCAACATCCTATTTGATTTTGTCATTAGAAAAGTTATTGAAGAGGCTAGTGTTGCTGGTGTAAAATTTCCGTATGGCAGTAATGATTTCTTTCACGGACATCGTGAAAAGTATGAAAATTTTAATGTCTTGGCTCTTCTATATGCAGACGATTTGGTTGCAATGAGTGAAACTATTGATGATCTTGAAAAATTTGTAAGATCGTTTGAAAAAATCACACAAAGATTTGGCTTAACGATGAGCGTTAAGAAAACATGCATTATGACATTGCAACAACTCAAGGAAGATCAACATGGAAAGGTTCTGAAAGGACAAGAAGTGGACCATCCTAATATTGATATAAACATTCGAGATCAAAAGATTGAAACAGTTGACTCTTTCACATACCTGGGATACACTATAACCAGAGACCAACGACAAGATACAGAGCTAGAAGTTCGCCTAGCGAAGGCTGCCAGAGCATTTAATATGCTAAGATATTCAATTTGGCATAGAAAATCGGTTTCAATAGTATCAAGACTCCGCATTTTCAGAGCATGTGTACTTCCAGTCTTATTATACGGAAGCGAAGTTTGGTCGCTTACAACAAACCAAGAGCGTAGAATAACAAGCTTTTACACGAGCTGTTTACGTACAATCATAGGAGTAAATATAGGCGACAGGATGTCAAATGAGACACTACTAGAAGTCACTGGCCAACCACCGATCGAAGATATCATGCGTAGAAACCGGTTAAGGTGGTTTGGCCACGTGAATAGAGCTATAAACGTTGACAACGAAGCATCACTAATTAAAAAGATCATGTTTTCATACTTTCATAATGAAAAAAGGCCTCGTAGTATTGGAATACGAAAAAGATGGGAAGATACAGTTATGCTCGATATTGAAGCACTTCAAATTAGAAATTGGAGAAGTCTAACTCAGGATAGAGATAGATGGCGAACAGCAATTAACAGAAATGTACAAACTAAAGCAGTACATAACAACATCAAAGAAATTGTATTTCAATATAAACAACGAGCAGTGAAACGGAAAGCAAAAGAACGTGCAGAAGCACAGGGAGTGGTACAACGAAAAGTTACAGAACTGTTAATGAAAGACAACCATAATCACTACAAATGTCCTGGTTGTGTTAAAAAGTATAAACCTCAAGGTATCACGAACCACGTAAAAGCGTGTATTAAAGCAAGAGATTGGTGTAAAAAGAACAAAATTGGATAACAAAGCAGCAAATTGAAGAACACCTATTGGAACTGGAACTGAGAGAACAA